GGCCCACGAGTCTCTTTCACTCCAGTAGGATCTGTCATATGAAGAAGTACCGGTCGGTATTGTGGACCGAAAGAGCAGATTACTCCGCAACCTAAAATTTTTTTTTGTTAAGGTCATGTGGCAGAATCACACACCGAGAGAGGCCACATGGGAGGTAGAATCAGACTTCAGAGTCCAATATCTCTAGCTGTTTGATTGAGAATGAGAGAAAGAAATTTGAGGAACCAAATTTCTTTTAAGGGAAGGAGAGTTGTAATGTCCAAATTACTTAATTGTAAATTAAATTAATTATAAATATTTTTTAATTTTAATTTAGTATAAAAATGAAGTAAATTTGATGGAGGATGAAATTAAAAATAACTTTGAGAAAAAGTGGTGAAAATTTGAGTTATTGGAGTATTTTTTTAAAAAAAATTAGAAACCGGGGGTCGAAATACAATTTAAAAAAATTTTACCACGTAGGATGCCTGGTCAGCAGTCCCAATGAACTAGGATGTGCCACGTGGCAACGGGCGCTGACGTGGTGCCACGCGGGCGATTTACATGCCCGCGATCGAATGACTCAGATCCATTCTCCTGTGCACGAACAGCTCAGATGTGTTCCCTCTCCAAACGCGATCGGACAGTTAGATTTAAACACGATCAGACAATTCAGATTAGATCACGATGAATGGTCCAGATTGGATTGCAATGAGCGTCAGGTTCATTCCCTATTTAATCGCGATCGGATAGTCCATATAAAAAACGATGGACGGTCTAGATTAAAAAGAGACGAGTATAAATAATCATCTTTACACCAAACCCTAACCCTAACCGCTAGTTACTCTCGCTGGAGAAAAAGACCCAGCCGTCGGGAAGAAAGCGGCTGCCACCCGTTATCGCGCCAGAGCTACTTCTGACCACCAAAAGAGGCAAAAAAAATTTTTTTTCTCAGAATTCAATTTTAAACACCCTTGTGGTCAAATCAGAGCAAAAGGACCGGTCAATTGGCCGAAAACCGCGGGCAAAGCTCGGCGACACCGCCGCAGAGAATTTCACGAAACACCTTTGATGAAACCCTTTCTGATTCTTATTCTGCATAATTTTTCCACCATTGTGATCACCGTTTCCTTCTCTATAAGTTAACCGGAGCAAAACATCCAAACGCAACGTGGCTGATTTTCTGTGTTTTTTGGCCAACCAATGCCTTCTAACGTGTTTTATCGCAAGAATTGATGCAAAATCGGCCAAATTCGGCCGAAAATGGTCAAAAATAGTCAACCCAAGACAGACTCGCCGCACGGCGGAGCCGCCATGCTGGAATTCCATAATTGCTAAAATAGGCCATGAGACTGATTTTGGGTTTGTTTGGGACATTTGTAGGTATTTATAGTGCGTTCTAATTCCTGAAGAAAATTTCAAAGAACTTGGGGACCACAAGTAGGCGCAGTCAACAGTTTAGCATTTTAGACATCAAATTGTGTAAAAATCCCTCACCCTATTCTCTGTTATGGAATTGAATTCTAATTAACAATAAATACGGTATTTTGTTACAATTTATAAAATGTGCTTAATTAATCATGGATTACTAATTGAGCTAAAATCAGAAATTATCTACTGCCGTTTTGTTGATTATTTTTACAGTTTAAATGCATGATAGTATCTTATTGATTGATTTTATAGCTTTAAATGCATGTATGTGTGATTTAAGTGATTGTCATTGAATTGGAAAAATGGAGACTAAAGAAAAACGAAAAATTGTGTGATTAAGTGAATAGATGAAACGACAGGCTTACTAAATATCTTGGAAGATGGTGGACGGATCGAGTACAATAAGAAACCCTACCGTGAATGTTGTCTCATACCGGACGGAGTATTGAGGTTTAGTAGTTTGGCGCTCATACCAGACGGGGTATGGGGACGACTCGCAATTGAGAATGTTAAAGGAAAGGGTTTACACGTAGCGGGAGTATCCATATGAACCTCCATGGATACCAAAAGGCTGATAAAATGAGAAAATTGTTGTTTTGATGATCTGAATATGAAAGTATAATAAGGGCTATGTTGCCGACTATATATAAAATCATGATATGTATAATATTATTGTTTTTATAGGTTATTTTTATAGATTTCACTACGGTAAGTGAACGGTAAATGATTTTATTATTGATAAATGAATTTGCTTAATTAAGTACTGCAATAGTTGTTTTAATTTTTTACTAACTTTTTTTTCTGTGTCGGTGAGTTGACGTGATATTCTTACTGAGATAATATATCTCATTCCTTATTTAACAATTTCAGATCAAGAGAATCATGATCCAAAGCCCGATCCACAAGAGGGTTGCAAGTAAAATGCTAGTTTTATTTGCTTTTCACTTATTTCCTTTTTTTTTGTATTTCTTTCAAAAGGATAATTCTCGTAATACCATTCGGTATTTTAAGTTATAGTTTAAAAAATATAAAATTTAATCTTTTGTTACGTTTCCGTACTTAAATTATTATTTATTTTCTTTGAATATTTCAGGAAATTTTACATAAATAATTTATGTAAATACAAAATAATAAAACTACTTAAATAATCTGTAAAAAAATTAAACATTATATATTAATAACTAATTACTACATAATTTTATTAAATAAAATTCTTACACTCAACTAATATTACAAACTAATTACATTAATTACCATACAAGATTACTATCGATATATCGTGCTTTACTTGGTGCACGATATTATTAAATCATTATAAAAATATTAAAGCAAAACTGAAGCTAGGATTCCTGTAGATCCCCATAATTACACGAGACTTTTCATCTTTAATCTGTATATGAAAGAGATTGGATGTCGACACCCAAGTCTTAAAGCAAGTCATGGCCATATGGGCTAATAAAACAAACACTCATTCAGAATTCAAACAAAATGTTATAGAAATAGATAAGCGGAAGGAAAATCAAACAAGAATTCAAACAAAACAAATTTAAGAGAGTAAAAGCTTTGACGCTCATTCAGAAAACATTGTCATCATGTTCTCATCCATTCATCACAAATTCTTTCCACTGACCTTTCATTCTATTCTGGGTTGGGAAAGTTTACCAGCAAAATCAATTTCCAGACCTGGATTCCCTGCAAAACAATATGGTGATATAATAATATGAAAGTGCTAGCCGTTACTCTATATAAAATCTAGTATTACACACTCTAGGTAAGATGGACGACTGATTTTCAATAAGTGGCTCCAGATAAGGTTGGAACTATGAGTCTAATGAACTATCCTTTCAATCATCAGAATAAATTCCTTTGCAATAGAGGAATCAAGTCATACAAAAAGTTGCCAGACCCAGATTGGTAGCAGAGAGTTCTGTTCACTTTTTTTTTCCCTCCCAATTCTTTCAGCATGTTCCCTAAATAACATCATCTAGGTAATTCGTGTCTACTGTAAATCTGTACCTATGGACTACGGTTTAAAAATATAATGAGAATTTCTTTCTGGAGTAGGAGCGGCCTTAAATGGTAGAAGGGATTTCTGTGCATTAAGTATTGGAAAACTTCCAGTCGTTCTCACGCGCCCCTTTGCTCCTCTCCCAGACATTCAACCTCTGAAGAACACTCTGCAAGATCCTTTATGAGTGCAACAACATCATCTGATGATCCAAGGAGATATCGAGCACTTGATTGCTTCCTTCCAACAGAGCAAGAGAAGTAATTCTCACTCTTGAGATCAAGTACAGATGAACCTTCATGTAGTGAAACTTTGTCCCGCATTATAGGCCGCCAAGCACCCCTAACCACAGGATTCACTGATCTCCTTTCTAAAGTTGACAAAGACCGTTGCTTTTTAAGGCGAGCTGTCTTGGACAAAGAATTATGAGGTATAGGGGCCACAACAGGATCTGCAACTTTGGTTCTTATTGCTGGGAGGATCTCACAAGGAAGCTCTGGCTCAAAGAAAGTATAAACATCCTCATCCTGAAAGATTATTTCAATTATAAAAGACTTCAATTATGCTTTTGGCATTCAACCACTATAATAAGAATATAAATTCCTGCTTCGTTCTATGTTAACAAGATTGAATTTCAAGAACAACAGCAAATGCCACAAACCTGTTATATTACTGAATATTCAGTCCATTAGGGTGGTATTGAGTTCAAGCTCGGCTTGAAACTCAGTTTAATCTTTTTCATGAACTCCAGTCAATGTGTGAAAAGTAATGAAGTTTGAGTTTCGTGGAGTATACATTTGATAACAAAAATGAGAAAAAATAACAGCTAGCTACAGGAGTTCATATTTTAAAAAATTTTGAGAAAATAATTTTCACCTAGCTTTTGAGAAAACCATGGGCACGCCTCGAAAGAGAATATCTTGAAAAAAAAAATACTTGCATTAAATTTGCATTCTCAGATGTGCTGCAAATATAGTCACAAATCCATTAACTTAGACTTAAGTTCTACTGGAAGAAGCAATTGAATATTTGTCCAAGTTAAAGATGAACATTATCCCAATTAAAAATAAAATGCTGGAAAGTTAATCTTTTGAGTGAATTTGTAAAATGTATGAACATAAAACCCTCATATTTAATGCATAAAGGTTAACACCCGGGTGGCAATTCAAGCAGCGGTTATGGTTAACAAAACTGACCTGCCTTAAATACGACTATTTTCAAAACAGATTCAGGGCAGACCCGCCTATGTGCACACTTTTACACATTTATTATATGTATAAAATATAAAATATCTTTTTAAATACCGAATAGAGTAGTAGATAAAGGTTTCCGTGCTTGATTCATGGCGGATCAGATACTCGAAAGTAATAACAATATTAAGCAGGTCTAGAACATCAGAAACCCTCTCTGAAGCCCACCCGTTTCCTTTGATAGATTTATAATAGTTAATCTTCAAATGAACTTTAGGACTAATTTGTAAGTTAATCTACATCTCAAAAAACATCTCTTCAAAAGAAGTGTTTTATTGGTTAAAAATATTTATTCAAAGAGAAGTCATGGTTATTAATGATCTAAGGAGGCAAGATTGCATAACGGTTATGGAATCTCATAATCGATCAGGTCACCAGCTGGACAAACACTTTTAAGCCAAATGTCCAAAGTTTGTTTCACAAGTTCAAAATCTATATTCAAACTGCAACCTACAATTACTGAGGAAATACATAAGCAACTATAAATAAGAGAAGCTGCTTTTAAACTAACATAAATATCACTGGAAAAGATTTCGATTCAACTTCTAATATGTGCTGATTGAATGGCCAAAGATTGTAAAATATTTTGAAAACAAAACATCTGACCGGACAAAAATTAAAATTTAGAACATACCTTTCCCAAAAAGTGGCCAACACATAGCACATAATCAATGGGTGCCTTCAAGCCTTTGTTATGAACTATCTCCCCTAATATTCGATCGATGGCTGCACCCTGCACATGCAGAAAAATGTTTAAGTGGCAATATGAAGCTCTTCATGAAAGTAGACAAGATTTGCATTTGTGAAATAATTAAAGTAGAAATAAAAATAGTTATTACAAGATATTAGAAGTAACATTAAGTCTTTAAGTTTTGAAAATGAAACACCTTTTTTGTGCAACACCTTTTTAGTATGCTGAACAGAGTCTTAAGTTTATAATATTTATTGAATGACAATATAGGTTCGTAGTGCTTGCAGCTAAATAATGGATGTACCTTTGTAACACCAACAGCCCGGACTTCGACAGATCGGCTACCTTGGACAACATCAAGAGCAGCGTTAGAGATAGGCCCTGTCCACAGATGTTGCAACATATCCCTTGCTTGAAGTCTTCCAAACTCAACATCTAAGTAAAAAGTGTATCTAATCAAAAAAGCATATCCAATAAAGAAATAGGGATCAAGCAATCAATCATTTATAATATCTGAAGAAAAATATAAGGAAAAATGAAATAAGTGCAGATATCAAGTCACCTGCATATTTATAATTCCATAAAAGAGAAGTTTCGCGGAGCTCAAAATGAGACCGTGGTGTTCTTTCAGTAAAGTACTCAAAGACATGCTGAATTTGTGAATTGTCATTAGAATTGTTAGAAGCAAACAGTATCATGTTTCGTCATGGATTAAATTTACACGATTAGCAAATCAACCTTTACGCTGTCAACCCAATCCATAGTCAAATTTTCTGGCATTGTTGTCATCCACTCTCCTGTTGTGAGGCGTAAAAACATACCATTTTCTGCTGCCAACCACATGTTGTATTCACCAAAGTTCTGTAAAAGGAATTATTAGTCCATAGGATATCAGAGGAGACTAAAATGTTCGTTGGAAAAAAAGAGTACATCATCTAGGACACTTCTATCACTTCCACTGATGACAACAGTTGTTGTCTTTGGATCATCACACAAATTCTTCAAGGGCTCTCTTAAATCTGGGTGCAACTTAAGCTCCATTTCTCGTATCTGATCTCCCCTTCTCCCTAGTGTGTTTGCTGGTTGAGTTAATGTCGCATTGAACCCCTGAAACATGGAAGCATGGTGATGATCAGATTGATGACAATAAAGAATTTATGTGCTTCCTTAAAACCCTCATATGGGTTCCTCAGGTCAAGACTCTGCAAAATTGCTACTCCATAGGAATGAAGTCAAACAAGAATGTGTTAAAGAAAGAATAAATTAAATTAAAAGGTATAAGAACAAAAATACATCCTATATAACTAATTGTAATTAATTGTTTATTTTTTTTTTTCATTTTAAAAAACCTGTATATCTGTAATATTCAATAAAAATACACTTAAAACATTCTTAACATGATATTAGCGCTATAAGTTAAGAAATTCTAAACTTTTTTACAAATGTTATTTGACTTTTATTACCGAAAGAAGAAAATTCTAAAAGAGTCCAGTCTTCAATACTGGCCACCACAACCCTAGCGGCTAGCCACCTCCACTACAAGTCAACATAGTAGCCAGCTATCTTTTCTTCCTCATTTTCTTCCTTGTGAGCTCACTTTTGTCCCTACTTTCAGTTCTATTTTGTTCCTTTTGAGCTCGCTCCATAACAATTCCTTTCCTTTGAGAAGAAACCTTGTCCTCAAGTTTAGATATGGAAATTGCTTCGATAGATACCGGACATTTTCCCATGTTCTATATGCAATTCCCCTCCAGTTAGCTAACGATTGTTCTTTCTGCTTTCCATTTTTACTGATCGTCCATGTTAGCAGTATTTCTTTTGGTTCGACCATCTCCTCCTCCCCCTGATTAACCATGTCAGGCAGATCTTCAGTATATCCTTGTTGCTCAGGTTCATATTTTTTAAGCAGAGATACATGAAAAATAGGAGGTCTCCTTGTTTGTGCTGGCAGTCGGAGTTTGTAAGCTACTGCACTGTTCTTGTCAATCTTATACGATTCATAGAATTTGACTGCCAAGGGATGTTTGAATACCTACTCATCTTATGTCTCTGTGTTCAATTCTGTTGAGGTAGTTTCAATCTTAATTGTATCTGTTATTAAAAAAAAAAAAAAAAAAAATCTTAATTGTATTCATGAAATGGGGTGGAGAATACCCATATAATGCCTGAAAAAGTGTCATATGGTTACTTGTTTTCTCTATATACGTCTAATTTTCTTACCTCTATATGAACATGCTCACCTTAGCATCCATGGGGATCTAATCAAGATCATAAGTAAAGGAAAATGCCAAACAATTCCCTTATGATCTGACTATAATGGGGCAATTTTTTTTTAATTAATTCTAAAAGGCATTTTAAATTTTAACATATTTTATCAAGTTGCACCTTGTTTACTACAAAAAAATATTGTTATTTGCATTCAAAATTTATGCATGTAAGATTCTTAAATTCATGTGATGGGAAAATATGACATGGGCTTCAAAAGAATTAAAAAGTATCTGATTCACATGATGTTTTTCGTCATTATTTTACAAAATTTTCTTTCATTCTCAACAATCATATAATTTTATGAGGTCATATATAAATCTTGAAGAAAATTATAAAACACTTTCATACACTAAACAGGTCCCAAGAATTTAGAATCAACATTCTTCAACATGCAAGCTAAGCGAATTTCAAAAGCTTATGACATCAAGGTTTACAATTCAGTTAACAGTAAAAGAAAAAAATACTAAAGGAAAAAAATACCAGTATGAGCAACCGGTTATTGGATTGCAAATAGCGGTCAACTGCAATTTTCATTGGAAGTAGTGGTGGAACTTGTCTTGTCCTAAGTTGAGCTTCAACAATTGTATCATTAAGTTCACTACAAATGAAATAATCTGAGTTAGAACAAAAAGAAAAGAAGATAAGAAATTGAAAAAATTAGAGTGACAAGTTAACAAGGGATTCTAGAGAAATAATTAATTGTTTATTAATTATAGACCCAAGAGTACATATATTCTTATTATAGAATTTATGTTAAGGTAGTCTTTCCCTTTTTTCTTTTTTTGTTCCTTTATTTTTTGTTAGAGGATACCAAATCCTCTTTGTTTTGTACCTTCCCGTCCTTAGTGACATTTCTATCTTCTTTTTTTCCTAAAAAAACCTATATGACAGATTCGGTCCAAGAACAGGCACTAATTTTAGAGAAAATATGCCCCATTGTTTCTTAGACATGTAGATGATGATGCAACTTTTAAAGTGGGCAGGATTCAGAAGCATTAAGGAAAAGTACGTGTAAACTTTGGTACAGAAGCATAAAATGCAATTGAAACTTTATGAATCTAAACAATAACAAAATTGCAACAGCAAGATTCGATCAGCACCTTACAAATGTTGCTGCCCATTCTTGAGATGTATGAGTAGTCACATACATGAAATTATGGTGGTGTCGTTTTTCTCTTTCATCAGCTGGCATATTCAGAGCATAACCAATAGAAGCAGCAACTTCAGTTATATTCCATGGATTTACCAAGAGAGCACCAGCACCAAGCGACTGTGCAGCACCTGCAAACTAGAAATGTAACAGAAAGACTAGCAAAAATTACCTTGTCATAGTATTAACTAGACAAACAATTTGATTATTAGTGCATGATAATGGAGGAAGCTACAGGAGTGCAAGAATATCTCACAATAAGTAGACGATCGGAAACAGGACAATACATCCATTGTCAGAATATTGCCATGAATACTTCTCAAACACCATTCTTAACAATAATCTTATTGATACGGCAGGTTCATAGGGAAGAGCAATGTTGATAATGATTTCAAATATGCCAGTGCACCAAAGCAAAACTAAAACAGCCAGATGAGCAAGACCTAGTAAGCAGATGTAATAAATTTGAACTATGGTCAATGCAATTTGTGAACGTATTTGGATCAGAAGGTGACTTAGGAACTACATATTAACCTAGAAGACCCTATGAAGCTTTTTCGTGATAATTAATCTACACTAAGTGTTGCCGAGAGTTCGATTCACTGTGACAGAACAACACATGTTGAGATTGATTATTACTCCATCAAAGAAAAAGTAGAAGGCAGTGCTATCCACCTAGCCTACACACCAACAAAGTTACACGTCGAAGACATCCTAACCAAAGCCTTGCCTTGAAAAGCTTCAAGCAACTAAGTTCCAAGCTTGGGATGAATAACAGTTTTCAATACAGCTTGAGGAAAAGTGAGAAATATCCTCAGCATTTTATTTATGATTATGGAAAAATTCTCAGCTTTTAATTCTTGATTTGGTCAACAATCTAGCTATTATTAGCTGTTCCATTAGTTATTAATAATTAGATTTGACATTATTAGATCTATTTCTGATTCCTATTTTACTGTAAATTTATTGTCAAAACTTCCTATAAAGGAAAGTAATGGTTGTCTTCAGCCTTTTAAAATATAGTGAGAAATTCATCCCTTTCTACAGTCTATTTGGTGCATAGAAGTACATTTAAAAGTGACATTAGAAAGTAGAATATAAGCACCATAATGCTACATTTTTATTTTCTTTTATTTATTTAACTAAATTAATTAACTTCTTAAAATTTTCTTAAAATTAACAGTATATAGAATTAACAATATCAACAGTAAAATATTTGTAATTCTTTATTTTTCCAATTAGCACCATACTATTTTAAGTGCATTTCTTTGAACAACTCCAAAATCCTCTTAGTATGTTTTCTCCAAGACCATCAGATGTTATTTGCAAAGACTAACAATAATACTTTTCTATCTTAGTTGTAGCAATGCCATAGATGTTCTTGTTCCTGGTGTAGTCCACAAGAAAGATATTTTATGGGGGTAAACAAAAAACAGAAGAACAAAATATCAAATGGAAATAATCCAATAGAATATAAAGTTATGCGATCTTTCATTAATTATTCACCAATGACTATTTATCTAATTTTTACATCGTGCTATGGTAGTCAAACTCAGTGTTTCATCTCTAATTCATCATCAATAAACTCTCTAATTCCATTATCACAATATTTCCACAGTTACCGTCAGGCTCTTTGCAGATTGCATGAGCTCATAAGACGGAAATGATTTAGAAATAAGGTCCACTAACCTTTTACAATGAACTTGTTGCTGGGATTGCTTATCTATCAACATCTTAATGAGATGGAGATCTGTTTGGAAAGAACTGCCATCTAATGGTTACTTGCCAAAAACATGCATGGACTACAAAGCGACCTAGTAAGTACAAATTTAAGCATGCAATTTTGATCCTCACAAACTTAATTTCAGATACCATGCCCACTATTTTTCAATCACTGAAAAACAGTGACTTTTGCCATATATTCTGCTTCCTGTTGGAGAATTTAGAAGAAAATTTCTTCCTACCATTGAATCAAGTAGGAAAATTCAAACATCAATCGATGAAGCACCCTACCCCCACCCCCAAAGACACCATGGTAGTATATTTGTTCAAGAAATTGTTCAACTTCCTCAGTTATAAATATGTGTTTCTCATTTTGTTTTACACTCAAATTAAATTCTTTATTTGAGAAAAGAAATAAAAAAACTAATAAAAATAAGAACTTGTGTCTGGAAGGCTTTAATACCTCACTTAGAATAAGAACCCCTTTTTTGGAAGCTTGGCACGCAACAAACTCATAGCTAACTAGGTTCATTCCATCTCTCAATGATGTAACAAGTGCCACATCTGCAAAGCAGCAGCATCCCAGAAAAGTTAGCCTGGAAGATGAACTAAAAAGAAACAGCTCTTGAAAATTACCAAAGCCTCTTTTTCTATTGAGAAAAAATGATATTCACAGTGCAGCAAGAGAGTGTCATACATATACAAAAAGAAACCCAAAAGATTACATATTAGACAAAATTTATAAGCTCAATAAGCATTCCAATGCATCCAAAATTTGCACTTTCCACCTTACAAACACCTTGTCGACGCCTTACTATGAAAAACCAAATACCAGCTATCGACCTAGTAGAGTGTTGATGCAACCTCGCAACAGGTGCCATCGACTTGGAAGACACATGGCGATCAAAGACGAGATAAGGCTTGTAGAAGCAACAGTCAACCTTATCAGGCTCCGAGTATGTAACTTAGAGAACTAACCCCGCAAATCAAGCTCATAGGCAACTGTCACAACAACTAAGAGAGATTGAACCTTAAACTTTATCCATAATTACACAACGAAAAAATTGAGTGGTTGGCGGACATTATACCTCCTTTTTTTAGAAATAGGTGAAAATCCATCAGGCAAGTTACGGGGTAGATACTCTAACCACCCTTGACCTTTTTTCCCTTCCACTCTTTTTTACTTCAAGTCTGTTGAAGCAAAGAATAAAATCCATGGCTATTCTTTTTTTTTTGAGGTTATCATATATGTGAAATTGAGATTCCATTTGTCACCTAGTCAACCTCCAAAAATCAACATCATCATAGTCCTTCATATGAGATACAGAAATAATCTAAAAGGAAATAGTATACAAGTAACAGCTTCCTATCCTCTAAGAAAGGGGTTTTAACTTCTCTTGAAGCTCTCTTTTTCCCTACCTCCCAAGAATATCTAATGATGGAGAGGAGGATAAGAAGATGATTATAGATTCTTATCGAACTAGTAACGATTCAAACCTTCTTTCTACAGAAGGCAAGTAACCAAGAACCAAGTTGACTTGAGTGCATAAATGCATTGGAATCTAACAGAATTTCATTTATGACACTCCCAAAGACAAAAAAATTGTTAATGCTAAAATTCATGTATTTGTTCAAATTTATGGGATCAATTATTCAAGTATTAGTCCCTCTAGTTTCCCTAAGATTGTGATGTCCTTGTGTTTCCAAGAGAATGGTAAATTACATTGGTACTTTACATTTTGGTAATAACATCCCATTAATTTTTAAATGTACAACCCATCTTATGTGATAAATATTTGTGTCATCTTAATCCAATTCATTTACAAAGGTTTCTTAACTAGTTATCATAAGAAATTCACATAATAAATAAAACACGCTTTTTCCTCATATGACCTCGAAACTTAGTGAAGAGAGTAAAAGTTGAAAACAAAATCCACATTTTATGGGGCATTTTGCAGTTTTACTTGAATTTTGTGACATCGTGTTAGGACTAGGTTGCACATTCTAACAACTTACATGGTTATAATTAGATCCAAAACTAGAGGATCATACTATAATTTACACCTAACAGTGATCATGGAATTATTCTTAGTTATTGAATTATGAGAATTCAGACCTCTCCTTTGACATAAAAACTTAATGAGATCAATCCTTTTCCCAGAATATTCAAATCCCAAAATCTCTAGTTCTCTTAATATTAACCACAACATAGGTGGCATTTAAACATTAAGATCCACAAATTTATCCCGCATTAGGCAGTTAATTACATGAATCTATGTAAAAGTTAAACAATTGTAAACATTCCCATAAAACATTAGCATAAGCATGTTTGATGTAGGACAAATTAGGGATTAATATGCTTACTTGAGAACTTGGGATAGTCCTTAGAGATTATAACTAAGATTTGTCAGATACACACCTAAAAATTCTTAAATATCATACAGAGTTTGACTACATAACATGACTAAGACATTTGAGAAAGTACACAAAGAATTGCAACAAATTTGAGAAACTACTTGAATAACTTCTATTGAAAGAATTGAATTGCTCTCAAAAGTGTGATTACATGAGGGTTTCTCTCTAAAATTCTCTCTAAACCCTAACTATCCAGTCCCAACCAAATGGCCTTTGGCTAGCCATAGTAGCCGACCTTGTTTGGGGGGCCGAGAAATGTCAAACGGCTGAAGGTTCCTAGTCATCGAGAACAAGTTGTTCGATTTAGTACGCAAACGAAAGAGATTGGACGGTATGAGAATCAGTGAAAATGAGGCGGGTTTAGAAGATAGATTTTCTTGAACAAAGAGGAGTTTGACTGGTTGTTAGAATCTTTAAAAGACTTCTGTTGGAAGAGAATAGGAGGGAAAAGGGCAAGACACTTGGTTCACAAAAGCTACAACTTGTGGATTTCTTATGGCAACAACAGCAAAGGTGAGTATATCATGTTGTCTATACAATGGAAATGCGAAAAGGATTTTGTTTCTAGGTGGGGACCAAGGGAAAGGGCGGTGGAAATTGATGGTTGCAGCTTTTGAAATCGCAAACAGGTTGATTCGTGCACCAAAGTCTCGAATGGAAAGGGGCCGTTAAGAGACTAAACAATCTAAATATCATACTACCGCTTGGAAGACATCTCTTAAGTGTCCCTATTGTGTTGTCCCCATCCACTTTACGATGGA